GTTATTTTATGTTTATGTCTTAATTTGGTTAGGTTAATATATAGTTATATTTATTGTGTTGCTATTGTCTTTTGGTTGTTACATATATGTACCACATTGAATTTTGCCTTTATAATGTTAGAAACCACTTTGAGTTTCCTTAGGGGAAGAAAAGTGATATATAAATGTAATAAATAAATAAATAGTATGCACAAGAAGAACAGGAATTGATCTGGCCAAGATGAAAAAAAATGTGTGAAAGATATACCTTCCCTTCCTAATGTACAACAAACCCTAAACACAAAATAAAATTGCATGGAACAGAGGAAATTTTAATTAATAACTTAGTCCCAACATGTGAAAGCTGTTCTTGATCTCAGGAAAATAAACCCATTTGATAAGAAGAAGCAAATTCCAATAAAAATAAATATGTGTAAATAGATGAACATCACATGTCAGGATGTGTCCATACCAGCTAAACCAACAAGCTGCTTCATCCACTCCATGCCAGTTTGATTGGAATGGGAGTAGAGCTATAGCTTCTGATAAGAGCCATCGGGACTGGGGGGGGGGGGGACGTGGGAAATGTAGCCTGTTTCATGGGAATTGAATACCCATTGGAGATAGTTAGTAAGACGGGTCATGGCTCAGCTAGATGATATACTACTAGTTTGGTGGGGAATAGTCAGAACTAGCTTTGGATTCTCCTTGGCAAGAAGGAATAATAAAGCTATTTCTGAGGACCTTCCTTTGTGAGCGTGCTTTTGTTCTAAAACCTGCCAGGAGCTGACATCACATTACCAATTTGAATCTATTCACTGTTGCATCCCTTGTGAAAGGAATATTAGATAATTTAGAAGGAGGGATAGGCTGGGTTTTTTTTAGGAGAAGCAGTGGGATCAGTTACAGTAGCCCTTATATACACAAACAATTATACAGTGGTGACAAACAAAATCTATATTTCAGTATTTGAAATGTACACACACTATCCATTCAGAAGAGCTAAGACAAAGAGGGCTGAAATAAAATAGATTCTAGCAAAATTGCCAATGGTAAATGTGAGGAAATATATCTTTAGTTTCAGGGCAGGGTAGTGTCAATGTTTTATCAGGATGGTTCAAGTTTAAAAATCTAAAACAGAAAGACACAGCTATTGAACTTCTTGAGAATAGTCTGCAAAGTGGGAAATGCACCAACTGATTGCGGAACCTTTCTCTTGTAACACTACCATTTGCCATGATACCTGAATGTATGAAACTTCCAGACCAATAGATTATATTTCTTCAAACATACACATACAAAATGACTGTTCTCTGTCTCCGTTTTTGAAAGGAAAATAATATCTTACAGTTTCCCAGAACCAAACCAAGGGTGAATGCCCCTTTCTTTGTGCTTTGTTTTTTTTAAATATGTCTAAAAGATGGAGTAAAGGAAATATTTTCTAAGGAGTTTGGTACAGTCTGCCACAAGCGAGAAAAATGTTTCAAGTACTTTATGTCCTGGCTTTACACAAAGGCGAAAGAAAGGATTATTTAAACAAGGCATAATCCAAGAGGCAGCAGCTAAGATTCACTTAAAACAAAGTGCAGGCTTGTCCTTCGCCCACTTTTGTACTCCTGTTTCTGCCCCCTCCAAATGGTACCAAAAGGTCAATTTGATGTGTATCCTTTTTGGAAACCAAATACCAGGTGCGTGTAATTTCCCCAGAACAAATCAAAAAGAGAAAAAGGATGATCATTGAAAAGGTCAATCTGTAGCTAGATCCAAGCAACATTTAGTGTTCCTTATGTTGCTGCTAAAAGAACAAAATGTGAACCCACTATACCAGTCTGTGTTAGGACTACATAAAGGACCAGAATACATTTTTCCCTTTCAAAGTACTTCACTCTTTGGGTGAACAACAACAGCTATGGTGACATTTTTGAAATAAGAAACAGTGTTCCTTTGTGCTTATTCTGTGAAGCAAAGCAAAAATACACAGCTGATATTAACAGTAAACACACACACAAGACATCCAAAATAATGAAGTTAAGCTACAGATTATCTATATGTGCACCACTGAAATCCAGTATCAACTATCACATTTTTCTTTGTGTCTCCTTTCATTTGCTGTTAGAGCTGAGATAGTCAAGCCTGGCTCAATACATTTTTTTGCTGCCTAAAGCAAAGAATAGGATGACACTTCTATTCCATTTAGATGCCATATGAGAACTGGACTTGCAGGTGAATCTTCCTTTAACACTGGTGATGGGACACTATCACATGTCTCTACACAGACACGTAGGTCCTGGGATTTCTTCCCCTGCTGTCTTCACAGGCTTCTTCTGTATCAGAAGAAGATGGAGGGCAGACAATGGACATCCGGTAGAAGGCTTTTTTAAAAAAAAATAACTTTGTTATGCTCTGGACCGTATATGCACACACGCAAATATCTTAATATAAATTGAAGCAGATTTGACCGAGTGTGCATATGATGTTCAGCACATAATAGAGGATTTTTTAAAAGAAAACTTTCACTTGATATCTCTCTTTTTTTTACATCTTGTTTTTTGTCTGTTGCAGCGAATCAGCACACACTTAGCATTAGCATCATGTAGCCACCACTCCCTTTTAACTTGGAAAATCCCGTGTTTTCAGTGCTGTGTAGATGGGCCCTAGGAGAGTACAAAACAGGCCATAGAGAACTCAATTATTGCCTCCACCTCTCAATCTGCTGCCTAATAAGAGGATCAGCTCTGAAACCAGTACCAGTGTCTTGGCATACTAGTCTGGAGACTATATAGCATCTAAAATATTTGGAGCAATCTTGTATCAAAGGTAGCATCCATGTCTTCAGTACCACACTGATTTGAGAAACATGCATATATGACAAGTAGCAGGCAAGAGGGACTCAACAGTTTCCTGTATTGTTTGCCTTTTTCTGCATAATTACTAATTTATTTCAGTACCAAATTAAAATGTGTAATTTTTGGGTCGAATTATACTTTTAACATACACATGGTTTGCACTTTTCCAACTTGTTTTGATGCATTAGCGTAATATATGTTATGATTTAAATTGTCTTTAAAATTATTTTAAATTTGTTTTAATCCAGTTTATTGCACTCTTCCATGAGATCCTACCATGTAGGGATAGCATTTTAATATTTCAACAAACAAACAAACTGAAATTTCATACATATAACTTGCTATCTTACTGAGAAAAGGGACAGTTGGATTGGACTTGTATTTCCTTCCTCCCTCCCTCCCTCCCTCCTTTTTAACCAACAGACTTAAACAATGGAAAGGTCTCTATAGGAAAAGTGATAGTATCTAGATCCATCAGCTTCACCTTCCTGGTTGCTTTGCTTTTAAAATAACTGGGAGATTTGAGTAACACAAACTTACATTTCTGAAGGTTATTGAGAAGAAACAGATAAATAGAACAGAAAAGACAGAACTCTTGCTGTTCTGTAAGTACTTTTGTGATTCTTGTTACAATGCAGTGTGATGAATCTTTCAACAGATATAGTTTTCCCCTGAGAATTAATCTGTTAAATAAAGACTTTTGTGGAAGAGCAATCAATATAAAGCTCAGGATTCAGTTTTGTCCCATAGAGCTCTGGCTTCTTCTCACTTAAGTGTAGTGCTAAATGCGACTTAATCCAGTTATCTTTCTCACAATAGCAGACCAGGCATTCATGCTGAGCATTTGTGTAGTCTGCTATGATAATCATGTTACCCGTTTCTCAAGAGGTACTTAAGTCTTGCAATAATCCCACCTGACTCCTGCACTTATCTTTTCTTTTTAATCAAGCACATTAAAAATATTTTCAGCCAAATTTGATTACACTGCTATTAGTGATGCTATTTTTTGTTGGGGACAGAAAGGATGTAGAGACACTTGAACAATGACATTCTTACATACAGGAAGAGAAAATATGAAGGGAGGCATGATTCCCAGTATCATTGTTGCACAGCATACTCTGGTGTTTACCCAATACAACTATGTAGATATACAATGAAATGTTGAACAAGCATATATACTCATAAATAAGCTAGCCTCATGTATAAGTTGAGGATAGGTTTTGAAATACAAATTATGAATTTTGATATCACATGTGGATAAGTTGAGTGTCATTCCAGGCAGAGGGGGAAATATCAATGCCATCTCAAGGGGCCAGCCACCCCTGGCTGCTACCAAGGTTTTCAAAAAGGCCAGGAGTGGTGCCATGACAGAAAGAATCAATGACTTCAGTGGTTCTTTTAGGTTCTCCTGGGGTGGACTAAGGTCTTGCCTTTCTACTCAGGTAAGAGAATGGCTCCTTTTTGAAATAAGAGCTAAAGCACACTGATCTCTGGATATGTCAGCCCAGGTTTTTGGACAGATTTTTAGACGAATATTTCTAGACTTGTACAAGATGATATAGGCATTTGTTTTTGTGATTTAGAATGCTGGATACAATTCTGAATCAATACCTTACTTTATTAAAACTGAGTGCTTTGCTCTGGTCATGCTGTTTAGAGTTTAAGACTAGACTCTAGCACAGGCATGGGCAAACGTTGTTCCTCCAAGTGCTTTGGACTTCAACTCCTACAATTCCAAACAGTCCGAAAACTGACTGGGATTTCTGGGAGCTGAAGTCCAAAACACCCAGAGTGCCCAAGTTTGCCCATGCCTACTCTAGCACCTGACCCCAGACAATGCTCTCTTCTCACCTTTGAACATGTTCCATAACAAGCTATACTATATCCAAACAAGCAACAGAAGAGTATGTATGTATGTATTTCTTACTTCTCCGTATGGATTGAGACAGGGAACAACAGATTAAAATACCATACATAACATCAATTAAAAACAAATAAACCAATTAAAACACAACATCAGTTTAACATAATACATAAGACCAATATATATTGAAATTGTGAGTAAAAAAATTATTTCAAAATAATCTATATAAGTCTACCAGAAGAGACTAGCCTTTAATGCTGTTTTAAATTCAGACAGCGTATTCAGTTGTTGAGTGTCTTCCAACAGGTTGCTCTGAACTTAATAGACAGCTAAAGAAAAAGTCATTTGGGGGACAGTTGCCGAACTAGTCCTGTCTGAGTGGAATAAATGTCCTCCAAAGGAGTTGAATGTATGGGACAGACTGTACTGAGGAGGTGAACCTGCAGGTAACCTGGACCCAAAACATGTAGGACTTTAAAGGTAATCGCCAACACTTTCCACTTTGCCCAGAAACTAATTGGTATATAGTGGAATGATTTTAATATTGGTTTAGTATTAACATTAAACAGAACTCAGTGGTGACAAATTAGGATCATGTCTTATGACTTCCTGACAATAATGGGTTCTGGTCATACAACCTGTACTCTCTCTCTCTCTCTCTCTCTCTCTCTCTCTCTATATATATATATATATATATAATTTTATTTTAAAAATTATATAAAACACTAATCGCTCCCCCCTCCTTTCTCCTAGCACGTTATTTGTACATGCCAGGAGAACTCTGGCAGCCATCCTAGGGATGCCGGGAGAGTTCTTTTCTTTTTTTACTCAGTTTAGAGGGGCTTCTGGGGTGGGGGCTTAGCCTCCCGATGTTGTACTGAGAAATCCCAGTACAACATCTGGACACCCACCTCAGAAAGCATGCACTTTCTGGGGTGGGTGTAGACAGCCTCCCAGGAACATCCGCGTTTTTTAAACATGGATGCCCCTGGGATAAAAGGCTGTCTGGATCCGCCCTTAACCTGTATCTGTGAAAGTGGATAATACATGCTTTAGTCCAGACTCAGAAGAGTTATTGAAGGTGCTGTGTCCTAGCCACAAAATAAATGTCTTTAGCTCCTTTGAAGTTCGATTTAATTATGTAATGGATCTACCAGCTAACTGACATGGCAGTCACCAGCTCTTACTAGACTTTCCTCATATGATTTTTGTAGTTGGAATAAGGAAGAGGAGACCAATTTATTATTTACGGTATTTGTATACCTCCCTTCTCAACCCCGAAGGGGACTCAGGGCAGTTCACAGTGTGCTCTGCCTGAAACTCATTGTAGTCAGAAGTAAGATCTAAAGGTAACGAAGGTATATATTAATCACAAAGATGCCTTTGATCTTTCCTAATCAGAAATGGAAATGCTAAACTTTTCTACAAGTATATTTTGTATACTTGTATAACAGCAAGTGTATGATTGTTCACATCAGTTTAAATAATACCCACTCTTTTGAAATTGTATGGTCTTGTTATGTACGCAAAAGGCAACCACACACTATTAACGAATTATAGTAATTATTGATATTAGGCCATGGTGCGTTACAATAAAACAAACAAAAACAATTGATCCTGCCAAATGTATACAATCTAAAATCAGGCATAATTCATTTGGGTTACCAGGCAGCAATCTATTAATGTAAAATACGGAGTTGTCCTCTGGTAAAAATTTGGATCCAGACAATAACAGAGACACATTTTTCCGCCTGATTTAAAAGTAGTTATTGTTTGTGTGAATTTTGTCTCATTTCAGTCAATTAACCAGAAACAAGGTACTATTCTTTTAGTTGCCACAGTATTTAACATCCAAAGACAGGATATAAATTATAAAAGAATGACAAATGCATTGATGTTTGTCTTCACCCGGATGCTCAACAGCATTATGGCAATGCAAATCAAAGGGGCTTTTTTGAGTTCCAGGCAGACTGGTTCAAGAGAAAAAAGTGGAACAATTTGGAGTTCATCAATTATATCACATCAAATTAGCCTCCATCATGGGCTCAACTTGACAGCTTTCATCTATTCTAATTTACAACAGAAAGGACAGCCAAGTACAGAATAGTAGCAATGACAGAGTCAAAGGGAACTTCTATAGCTTTAGTGAGCAAGAATTATAGTCCTTTTCAAGAGCAGCTTCCGTTTGGATCAAAATCTCCAGTCGTAATTAGTTCCTTAAGTCCTCTTGATCAGATAATCTCTATCCTCATTTAAGGTAGTGAAATGATACACATCTTTTTATCAACCCTGTAGGTTCTGTCCTTTTACAAATGATGTTTTATATACAATCTGTATCAGACAGGGAACTGGTTGTTGCAACTGAGGATCTTAAAGTAAAGCCCTTATCAGAAGTGACAGTTCTTTGTGCACATGATCTGTTTTGCTGGAAATCATTTTATACTTATTTTATTGATCAATATATAACTAAAAGCTGTCAATGTAACTCAATTGACTTTATAATTCGGTACTTGTGGTGAGCATTTTAATACACTATAACAGGAATCATTTAAAGCATGCTGAAAGAGTGCTTCATATATTCAGCCTTGAGTACATTTCATCATTATTCAGTCATCGTAATAGGAAACACCCCCTGCCCCTGCTTTGGGGAAGGGTATTTCAACAAACTGTAGTGTCCAAGTCCTGAAACTGTATCTCAGAAGAAACAAATTTGATGATATCCCTTGGTACCACAATAATATTTGGGTGTTTTTTTTATAACCCATTGCCATGGTGGCGCAGTGGGTTAAATTGCTAAGCTGCAGAACTTGCAGACCAGAAGATCAGCAGTTTGAATCCGTGAGACAGGATGAGCTCCCATTGTTAGCCCCAGCTTCTCACAACTGCATTGCAAATGTAAGTTGATGAATAGGTAACACTTCAGTAGAAAGGTAACGGCGCACCATGCAGTCATGCCAGCCACATGACCTTTGAGGCATCTACAGACAACGCCGGCTATTCAGCTTAGAAATGGAGATGAGCACCACTCCCAGAGTTGGACTCGACTAGACTTAATGTCAATGGAAAACCTTTACCTTTAACATTTAAATAATATTTGTGTGTTAAGTTATACTTAAGAAAGGCATAAGACTGTTTTCATAACCAAATCCAAGACTTGTCTCAGAATCCCATGGTCTAATTCTCATATATTTCATCTTTTTCCCAGCCAAACAAGGCGAAAAAGATAATATCACTGGAACATCATTGTCTTAAAGGAAATGCTTTGATTCCCAGTAAAAAACATCAGTGATATGCTAGAGGTAAGTACTCCCCCTTCCTTTACTGCAGCAAAGAACCCTTTGGCAGGTGACAAAGCTGCATTGATTTTGTGCAGGTTTGTGGGGAAGGAAACGTATATTATGGCCTTTTAAACCAATTTGGCCAGATGTTGGGTGAAAAATCCATATGAACATTGGCATGGAATTTTTTAAAAAAAGGGATTTGGGGTTTGCCAAGGGGCCCTTGAGTTTCCATGCAGCCTACAAACCAAAGCACGCATATTCCACACTTCTGCTCTGTAATTCTTAGAAGACTGCTATTAATTTTTTTTTTAAAAAAACACACCATAATAATCTAGTTTCTTATGTAATGGATGTGAATCTGAAATGCGTTGTTTTTATATTTATCAACAGGGAACATTTTCCCAGCTGGTAACTGTTTTATTTACCAAGAAAGAGCAAGGTTGTTGCTGTTTTTTACAACTATGTCATACATTGAAATAATGATAAATGATGATCCAGTTGTAGGCTAAAGTGTGTTCCCTACAGTAAAATCAGCATTAACATGACTGTGAGGCACCTAAGAAGAAATAATCGTGCCCAATTATTCCCTAATAACTGTTGGTTCCCTGTAGGACTCAATGAATCAAAGCTTCATGTTAGGAGAATAAACAACATACAGGGATGAATAAATGCCAATCCAAGAATTTAAACAAGTAATTTTAGATTACAGCTCACAAAATGTTCTGTCTTGCATAGCCAATGGGAAGGAAGGTAGGGTTTCTGAGTACTGATGTGTTATATTTTGCTAAATTTAAGTCAGGAAAATATTAATAATAGGTTCAAAAGACATATAAAACATGGTGCAGAAAGGTCTGAGTATTACAGAATGCATATTACAGATTTACAAAAGAATGCACGGGGAGAACAGAAGGGATCCTTCCATTCAGAAGTGATTACTGATTCAAAACAGAAATACCAGTAGTGGAAAAGGGATCTATTTTTTCAGTTCCTTTCCTTTTATAGTTCCTTATCCATTCTAAAAATCTACTGAAAAGACAGGAAATTCCAAACAGAATGTTTGGACTTCCACAAGAGAAGAAATTGGCAGTAACAGAAGCAAATTCTCCTCCTATTTAGTAACAATAAGGACTCCAGACATCTAAGATGAGGTGATATATAAACATTCCAAATCTATAAGATGACAGGGCAAAACTGACAAGCTGTGAGAACAATCGAAAATGAACATTTAATGATTTTCTGAGTAGATTATAGAAACATTAAGTATTTAAAGAGTAGAAATTCAAAGTGTACTGCCATGAATATTTGGGAAAGCTTACTTAATATATACTTCTTTACTTTAGTAAATGCTTGAGTGGGGAAATTCATATGCTGGAAATATAAAAGCTACAGAAACCGCTGCTTTCAGTTTGTGCAAATACATCAGCATGCAATCAATCACAGGGATGGGACTTGGTTTAACAATATAATAAGACTCGACTCTTCAAGCTACACAAACCATTATTATTTTGAATTGTTTTCATTTTCATTCCTGTGATTTATGAATTAAAACTGGAATAGTTAGTTGCTGTCAAGAAGCATATTTCAGTGGCTAAATAAATAAATACATAAATATGAGGCAACCATTCCTATCTTGCGGGAAAGAGGATTTTTTTAAAAAAATTCTCTTTTGTCAGCTAATTAAAAATGTTTAAAGAAAGGAAACATCAGCTAATTCTCTAAGTAACTTTTAAGCCAGTAGAAAAAACTGTTCGGCTGTACATAATGGTGTCAGGTATCCTAAAGACTAACGCAGAATACAACAAACAGGCTATATAAGGCTGCCTCAGGTCTTATAAGAGGAGGTCCTCTTGCAAGACCTGGGGGGCAGGGGTGGCTGCACCCCTAAAGCCCACACAGATCTTCCAACAATAGGTCAACTATAATGAGTTGAGCATTTTGCTGTTTGGCACCAGCACAGCTGGACAAAGGAGGTCTAGACCATGCCTCTAGACCAGGGGTCCTCAAACTAAGGCCCAAGGGCCGCATGTGGCCCTCCAAGGTCATTTACCTGGCCCTTGCTCAGGGTCAACCTAAGTCTGAAATGACATGAAAGCACACAACAACAACAATCCTATCTCATCAGCTAAAAGCAGGCCCACACTTCCCATTGAAACACTAATAAGTATATATTTTTAAATTGTTCTTTATTTTAATTATGGTATTGTTTTTAAGTGTTTTTTTTTCACTACAAATAAGATAAGTGCGGTGTGCATGGGAATACATTCATCTTTTTTTCGAATTATAATCCGGCCCTCCAACACTTTGAGGGATTGTGACCTGGCCCTCTGTTTAAAAAGTTTGAGGACCCCTGCTCTAGACCATGGCCATACAGCCCGAAAAAACCTACAACAACCCAAAGAGGAATAGTACCACTGTGCCAGGTACAAACCCCCTTTATAATAGATATGCAAGACCTGATTGCTACATATGTACCAGCAGGACTGGTGGCAGTAGGACTGGTGCACATTCCCAAACATGGCCTTTATAGTGACCCATATTATTTCAATAAAAGCCTGAACTTTATGCTTCAATATAGCTGTCTTGTACAAAATGGGACTCTTATGAACTCCAAATGTACATCATCCCTCCACTTCCATCTATGGCACATAGTTCCAGTTTAAAACTCGATTCCTTTCTATTCCTATTCCATCTACAACCTTAGAATTACAGAACTGAATATATTTTGCAAGATGGAAACAGGCATTTGCACATAGGTTGACTTATCAGTGTGCGTTATAACACTGCTTTTTAAACTGTGTGTCCCAAATGGAGTCCCCTTAGTTTAATGTTGGGGTCCCAAAAATTTGGCAACAGTAAAAGTTTTCTGAATGTCAAATAGCAGCTATTTTAGACTTTTACATGAATCTGCTGTGCCTGAATTAGGATTGCACCAGCAGCTTGTATTCAAGAGAAATAGAGTAACTTATTTCCATATAATTAGTTGCAACTCTGCTTATATCAAACATCTATAGTTCTGCTAGTCCAGCTGAATCCAAAAATACATCACAGCAGGGCATTTCTAAAACTTCTCCAACCTCATTATGTAGCAAAGGGAACACATAATACACAAAGCTATTGTCTATCTACTTCAGAGACAAGAATCACCTACAAACTACATATAGATTCCAAGCCATGCTTTTCAGCCCAAGGTCATCCATATTCCATGTTCTCCTCACATTTTTGGCCAAATGTGTGCCTTCTTTGCATATTGTTTTGAAATTTTATTTTTCTCACATCGGAAGTGGATTTCTAATCACTTCTGCCACATTTCAGCAGTGAATGGGCACAGTTCACTGTGGGTACTACCATGGGAAAAGCCCTCAGAATAGATCTGTCAAAGCTGTCTGCCCATGCACTGGAGAAAAAGAAATGACTTTTATAAGGATGATATATAATCATATCTGCTGAGAGCCAAACCAGGAAAGGGAAGCTCCTAATGTTGCTGGACTACAGATGTTTGTGACATACCATTTCCAGTATCTTAGAACACCAGAGACCAGAACTGATGGGCACAGAATTCCAGAAATATCTAGAAGGTCATGGGTTACCCACTCCCTAACCCATTAAATGCCATGGTCAGGTTTTAATGAGGGATAAACTACAAAGGGAAAGTCACAACCATTACAACTTGTTTGTGAATTATCATAGGCACGAGAAACAAAATGGTAGCCTGATCAGCAAGGAAATCTTTATGCTTTCCTGTTTTATTGGTCTATCAATTGGTAAATGAAAGCTGCTGTCTTGAAACAGCAACTTCACTATATGCTGGTAGGAAATCGGTTATGGATAAAGAATGCCTGATTAACTGGGCCCGCACTTCATTATTTTTTGCATGCTTCTGTTGGTTCAGGTTTGCCTCTCAATGATGTAAGTATGCCTAAGACTAGAATGGAGATGTTATCTCAGGATAAGTGATCAGATAAAACCAGCGTGTGACAAGAATACCACACATTTTGGTATGTTCCGAAATCTGAACAAGTAGTACAGAAACAGAGGCAAAAATGTATGTGGATTTATCACTATTCTACAATATTGTTCTTGTGGATTTTCCTTATATCAGAACAATAGTTTTTGCAATGAGGCAAACAAGAAGATGGAAACATATTTACCTTGAATGACTGAAAATTACAAAATTACTTTTTTATTATTTTAGATTTTTTTTTTTAAAAAAAATAGGTCCTGCACAGGCTTTATTAAAGATGTCTATGCTTACTTTTTAAAAAGTGGCTAACTTCTCTCCTGCCTTTTCCACCCATTATTTCTTTCCCGGTAATTTATATTCTGAAACACTGCTTCTCAAACTGGAAATTCTACTTCATCATAAGGATTCAGAATTTGGAAAAGTTACTTTTGTTGTATAGTTCTCAAAATCCTACTGTCTATGGGACTTGTAGCCCATAAAGTGACTGTTTATTGATCTATTTCGTATAAATTGATCAAATTCCTTTTGAAAGCAATTGCAAATTACTAGACCTATCGTCCTGGCTTTACTGCCTATTTCTCTAACCCCTTCTGTAGTCATCAATGCCAGTGATAATCACCATCATCATATTCTATCAGAAAATCCCATAAATAAATAATATGTGTGCCAGTAAGTACTCTCTTTTGGCTCTGGTGAAACTTCTGCCAATCAATTGAACTGACTAACCCTGAGTTCTAGTAATGTGAGAAGATAAAAACTTTTCTCCATATTATACACAGTTTCATAGTTTTCCCCTCAAGTTTTAAATTTTTCATAAATGCCTTTCCCACTGCTTCTAAACTTCTCAGACATTGAACCTGTTAGAAATAATTACCTTGATTCCTTTGAAGTGATTACTGTTCCAGTTGTATCATATTTGTTTCGATAGATATTACGATATTGATCATTTGTTTCACTTCCTTTCATATTAGTCTCCGTTAAAAATGGAATATGTTTTACTGTCTTGACTTATACTCATTGAGTGATGTACCAAGACTACAAGAACTTTTTTTCTAGCCAGTAACTATGATTTTAGCTATATTGATACCTAGATATCAGTGCAGAGAACCAGTGTGTTGTAGTGGTTTGAGTGATGAAATTAGGAATCAGGGAGACCTGCCATAGCGACCCATTGGGTGAGCTACAATCTCTCACTCTTAGAGGAAGGCACTGGCAAACTTCTTTTGAGTAAATATACACAAATGCCTCAGTTCATGGACATTACTTCTACAACAGAAAACTCATTACCAGAGGCAGAAATATCATGGAAAGATTAGCTAGGTTCCCATACAATCAAAATGGAAATTTAAACATATTTCAGCATGTTTTATTCTTCAAATTTAACAATATGCTCATGTGAAATGAAACAACCAAATTAGCTAAGCCTATCATCTATATCTATTAGGCCTGTTTGATCAAGAAAAAATTTGTTTCTAAAATCGATTTGTAATTGGGGTGTTTTTTTGTTTCGATATTTAAAATATTTACAAAACTTTCCAAAAAAAGTTTTGGTATTTACGAAATTTTTCGTAAATATTAACGAATTTTTAGCATATTTTTTGTATTTTTTAAGAATAATATTAAAAATAATATTAAAAAATATTTTAAAATGGAAAATTAACCAAAAAATGGCCCAAATGTGGACCAAACACAGGCAGGAGATGTAAATATTAACGAATTTTTAGAATTTTTTTTGTATTTTTTAAGAATAATATTAAAATAATATTAAAAAATATTTTAAAATGGAAAATTAACCAAAAAATGGCCCAAATGTGGACCAAACACAGGCAGGAGACAGCAAATGAGAGAAAACACCAACAGAAGAGTCTTTTCTTTTTTAGAATATTTTTTAAGAATAATATTAAAATAATATTAAAAATAATATTAAAATAATATTAAAAAATAATATTAAAATAATATTAAAAAATATTTTTAAATGGAAAATTAACCAAAAAATGGCCCAAATGTGGACCAAACACAGGCGGGAGACAGCAAATGAAGCAAGCAGCACTCACAGCAGCAAGGAATGAATCCAATCCAGTTGCTAGCCATTAGCCAAGCCAACCCAATGCAAACTCCCTCGCCCTCTGCAGCAATGAGCTACGGCCGCGCGGAGCCGCTTTGAAAGGGCTCGCCGGCCAATCAAAAACAAACAGCCACGGACCCACAGTGCACTGCTTGGGAGCGCCTGATTGGCTCCCAGGCACCAGCACTCCAGCAGCCTCCACCCCATTAACGAAACGAGCGGAAGCTCGTTAAATCTATGGGGGCTGCCGTTCGATATTTTAAAACCCTTCCGGGTTTGGAAAACTGTTTTGATATCGCTTCAAAAATGCCAAAAATAACGAATTAATAACGAATTAACGAATTAACTTTAGTATCAACAGGAATATATATATATATAAAAATGCTCTGTGCATAATGAGTACCTTAAAAACAAAAGAACCAATGAACGAAATCACACCAAATTTGGCAACAAAATGTCTCACTACACAAGGAGTGACCATCACTCAAAAATTATGATTTTGTCATTTGGGAGTTGTAGTTGCTGGGATTTATAGTTCACCAATAATCGAAGAGCATTCTGAACTCCACCAACAATGGAATTGAATCAAACTTGGTACACAGAACTCTCATGACCAACAGAAAATACTGAAAGGGTTTGGTGGGCATTGGCCTTGAGTTTTGGAATTGTAGTTCACCTCCATCCAGAGAACACTGTGGACTCAAACAATGATGGATCTGGACCAAACTTGACAGGAATACTCAATATGCCCAAATGTGAACACAGATGGAGTTTGGGGCAAATAGACCTTGACATTTGGGAATTGTAGTTACTAGGATGTATAGTTCACCTACAATCAAAGAGCATTCTGAACCCCACCAATGATAGAATTGGGCCAAACATCCCACACAGAACCCCCATGACCAACAGAAAGCTCTGTGTTTTCTGGTGGTCCTTGGTGACCATTCTGACACCCCCCTGGTGACCCCCCCCCCGGGATCTTGACTTCCCAGGTTGAGAAATACTACCTTAAGGCCATCCAGTCCAACTCCCTTCACCAGGGCAAGAAAAAATAATCAAAGCCCTCTTGACAAAGGGCCATCCAGCCATTCAGACACACACACACATATGTATATGACAGATGCAGTATCAAATATTTGAAAGGGACCCCTAAAGAAGGACAATGATATGTTCCATGTTCCAGAGTTGGCAAACCAGACAATCTCCACATCAACACTGGCAAAGAAACAGCAAGAAATACTGTTTACACACAAACATAAAGACATTACATATATTAGAAAACAACACTTTCTCATTACTTTATTTTCCAGATCACCAGACTGGGCCACAGCAACACGTGGCAGGGGATTGCTAGTAAGTAAACAAAAACCTTTGAGCCTCCTAGAGACCACTGGATGACTCCTTCCAAAATGCATGCAGCACTGGTTTTTTATTTCACCAGCCACCATTCTTCTTATGATTTCCATTTTAGTCAATGATTTTATAGACCCTATAGAGTTTTTTTTTACAAAATCATGTGAGAGCTTTAGGGATGGGTTTATCAGCTTGCTACTTTTCTGTATATTTGCTGTTCAAAATGAGAAATCAGCTCTCTCTAGGAATTTGTAGGCCGTCCAACTTGCTTCTATGGTCAAATTCTAGTTGAAATAACCAGCAAAAAGGAGGGAAATTGTTTTTTCTCCTTAAACTCCCCACCATAAAATGGACTACCTTTTTCTGTCCATTTGGAGTTTGCCCAAATACAGTACCATTTTTTATTCAAAATTTCCAGTGACCATTGTGGCCAGGGGATTCCACTTTCTTTTAAATTCTGAGAAAAAAGCACGTGATATATTTATTCAGCCTTTCCTGACATGTACTCCCAAAATGTGTAGTTTGGTAAGAAAAAATGTTGAAGAAAGTAATTAAACATTCTGTCACCAAGCAGAAGGTCTGGGTAAAAATCACATCAGCTCACACAAGATAAAACTAAAGGTGACAGAGGAGAAAGAAACTGAAGCCAGAATTTGAAGTGTTGATTCATCAAGAGATGTAGTTCTACAGTTAATGACATGAAGCATATGGCTGCTTCCTACAAAATATATACCAATCAAGCAGAAGGTATTTTCCCTGAGGTTGCCAGTAACAGATACAGATATAATGGAAATGCATTAAAAAAAAACACCCCTCTGCCTTATTCATATTGACACATTGTAATCAAAAGCATATAATATATGTGCAATTTAGCTTTGATAGCACAGGGGAACTTATTTGAAAGATATTTGAAACATGGAAACATTTTAGCCTTTGACTCCAAGATTAGCTTGTTAAAATTTCACTCAGGTTCTTGGCACCTTATGGCAGACTGATAAGGCTGCTCCTCAATGTATTCAGACAGAGGGTGCTCTGTTTCCTTTCCTCATGATTTTTGAGCTCCTGATTTGTAATTCTGGATCTTCAGATACAATGAGGGCTTTAATGGGAGGAATTTCCTTGAAGGAACCTAACTTTCCACAGCAACCCATACGTAGTTAGCAAGGATGGAGAGGTAAAGAAGCTCTTCTGAGGATGGTGGATATATATATATATATATATATATAAAATAGCACATAGAAGAAAAAAATCAGTTTCCCTGTACCAACCTGATTACAGAAATACATCACAAAAATAATCAGTTCTGTGACAATAATGTGTGCCTCAAAACCATTCTGAGTAGCAGCTCTTTGGCACAAAGTGGATGTGGATTGGATTTCAACATTCATTGGTGTTTATCAAAGAATGTGTGCTGTTTTTCAACATATGTAGGTTAGTGCATTAACAGATCTTGAACAAGAATGATATGATGTAGCTGGTGGCTATTCTAGAAACCAGCATAAGAGTAAAGGGTAAGAGAACTAGTTAAAACAGGTTATGCTGAAGAGATCACTGAATTTCCATATATTTGCTTGGGTGAGCAATACAAAAGCAAGAAATAAAATCATTGCCGTTGCCACTACCCGCCTTTTAGGTCAAGCAACTGCCAAAGGAAGGGAATGGATCCAGCCAGCCTTATCCCTATTGCCAACTAGCAGCGTTTACAAAAATTGAGAGCTTTCTATTATGAAAACCGAAGGGTGGTATCAAAAGTGTTACAAACTTATTTTTTAGTAATAACCAGAATCTATTGGTTTATTCCAATAGGGATTAGCAAGTGGATTTAGAATATAATAAATGATCAATTCCAGAAGATAGACGGATTGATAGAGCGATAAAGAAAAATAGCATTAAACTGATTATGTGTGTTCATTTGTTATAGGTTCAAGGCATAAAACAGTAGAATCAATGACAAGATGTTAGGTGTACTAAATAAAAACATTATTTCTTCTAATTGACAATATAACATCAGTTCTTCTTAGGTGACCCCAACAAATCAATGCCTGCAATTATAGAATGACCTTTAGAAACATTGCTTCACCTTTAGATCATTATTTCTTCTCCATAAAGTATATTTCCAGATTAATCTATTGATGGCAATAGTTTCTTGAGTTCCTAAGAACTGCATCAACTGAAATCATGATACTTTATATCCTGACTTTCAGCTTTAGTTTTATCTGTCTCAATATTGATGACATGAAAAGCTACTATTTAAGATTAACACTTTAGTATCAAACAATGTAATTATTGTAATACTATCTAGACAATTATTGTAATACTATCTAGCAGCATTTTCAAACAAAAAAATAACAATAAATTTGTAGTTCATTTCTTATCCAGATTTGAGAGATAAGCAGTTCTACAAAGTAATGTAAGTTGAATATCCTTTAGCCAGAATTCCAAAATATTATCCATTTGAGTGGCTAAGATAGGGCTTTGCTTTCTGATGATTCAGTATATACAAACTTTGTTTCGTGCACAAAGTGATCAAAATATTGTGTACAAAATGATATTTTGGCAAGGTGTATGAGATAAGGGGTCACGGTGGTGCAGTGTGTTAAACCGCTAAGCTGCAGAGCTTGCTGACTGGAAGGTTGGTAGTTAGAATTCATGGAGCAGGTGACCTCCCATCATTATCCCCAGCTTCTGCCAAACTAGCAATTCAAAAACATGCAAATGTGAGTAGATCAATAGGTACTGCTCCAGCAGGAAGGTAACGGCACTCCATGCAGTCATGTTGGCCACATGACCTTCGAGGCATGTTGCCGGCTCTTTAGCTTAGAAATGGAGATGAGCAACCACCCCCCCCCACCCCCCCAGAGTCAGACTTGACTAGACTTAATGTCAAGGGAAAACTTTTACCTTTACTATGAGTTTATATGACACATGAATGAATTTCATTTTTAGATTTGACTCCCAACTCCAAGCTTATGCATGCAGGGCAGTACCTGAGGGGGGGGGGGGAGGGTTAAAGGGTTCAACCTCCCCCAATGTGTCAGTTTTTTTAACCAGGTTTTTTTAACCTGACACATTTCAGGGAGGGAGGTCCAACCCTTAGATATCCCCTCCCTTTCTGACTTAAGGCCCTGAATGCATGTACCTAAGTTATCTTTGGTCTGATCTCTTGATTCCTTTAGTCCACTGGATATTTTAAAGGGGGGTTAATACTGCAAACTAAGCCATTTTAATCATCAGATAATACATATGGAGCAGTTTTCTTTGGAATAATTAAGGAGTAGGTAATGATTTATGTTGGCATGAAAACAGGGCAAAACAATTGGGGATGACATCAAATTACCATTTGGTGTTAACCACTGGGGGAGAAAAACAATAGTGTTTATTAGCCTCCAATTGAAAAACCCATCTTGTGGCCTGGACAGCATTATTTATTTGCTTAAGCCAAACAGGCCCTTTATCAGCTTCTGTCTTTCCTTATGTTCTCATTTCCCTGCAAATATATGGTAATCAAGGTCTTTTTAACAGATGTTCCTCCAGACTCATTAACTTCTGAGCTTCATTGTTTATGTTACCCAGCAAAAGCTAGTTTATAATAGAAAACAAGCAGGGGGGAAAATCAAAATGCTTGAAGCAAGAATAAGCTTGGAGCAAGAATACACAGCCTCTTCAGCCCATAGACGATACTCTCTGAGGGGCTGTGCACATATGTATGCAAACAAACTCACAGAAATGCAAGTGAATATATACACATACATCTCATCATGCTCCTGTTGCCTAGATTAAAGCTGCCAAGTCTCAGGGCTTGGGTCTGAGCCTTTTCTGTGATCTTCATAGTAAGGAAAAGGATTTCAGGATGACAGGGCAATCTTGAAAAGTGTTTCTGTTTGTGCGTGTTTATATGCAGTTGACTCTTTACATTTGTGGGGTTAACAGTTGGAGCTTTGATTATGTATAGGTTTTATTAATATGTTTTCCCTAGGAATCTCTAGGTTCTTCAGAGGGATTTTATTGTCAACTTCCACTTAGTCATGCTTGAGGACCTAAACATTCCTAGAGATACCACTTCCCTAGATATCTCTAGGGGCCCATCCAGACACTGCCCATAATGCAGAAGATCCCTCGGTTTTACCCGAGGTGTCCAAACAACGTCTTCGGTAAAACTGAATTAATTCAGGACAAAGCAGTAAAAACCCTGTAAAGACCTGGATTTTTCATACAATCCATGTCTTTCCAGGTGTTGGCCTTGTATGGAACGGGCCCGGTGATTGCGCCGCTCAATCCTTGGGCTTTAACTCACACCCAACCAGGAAGTTAATCACAGAATTGCCCTGGAAAAATCTAGAGAATTCTAGAGAGGTCTTCTTTCAAGTGAAAAACATAGTTTTTTCTTCGTGGTCTCTGCGAATGCACACTTGTGGAGAGACTGCGCCTGCGCGGGCTCCAATGGAAACTTCTACATTTTAAAACTTTTCAAGTTTTGGCGGTAACCCCGCCCAGCCCCGGCAGGGGATAAAAGGGCGCCCCGCGCACACCGATCCAATTCCTTTTTTTCCGCCGCACGGCTCGCTTCGGTACTTCTAGTTGGATAGATTCTCTACAGACTTTTCCTCGAGTTGTTTGACAGTATTATGTCAACAACTCGCTTCAAAAGATGCGCGAATTGTCCGAAGAAGATCCCTGATTCGGACAAGCACGCTCTTTGCCTTTTGTGTCTCGGAGAGGCACACATTACTTCTTCGTGTCGTCATTGTCAATCGTTGACGGCACAGTCCCGTAAGAACCGGGTCCATCGGCTTCGATACCTTCTGTACCAGCAGACGTTGGCTCCGGTACCTTCAACATCGACATCGGCGTCGACGTCAGCTGCGGTATCCAGGCCTTCGACATCAGCTTCGACGTCGAAGGGAGCATCGACATCAAAATCTGTCGATCCCTCGACGGAGACCGAGCCTCGCCAGACAAGGGCGAAGAAGGCTGCGCAGAAAAGGCCGAGAACAGCTATG